CTCACTATGACCCCTTTTGTAATTCTCTTCTCTAACTTTTAATAAACTTTATTTACACCCACATGTCCTGCCATGGATTCTTCCACTTGGAACACAAAGAATTTGGAAGTCTTCTGATCAGAGATTGAACCATTGCAGCTAACATGTGGCAAAGCCAGCCAGGAGTTAAAGGGGGGGGGGAACATTTGATTCAATCAATTGAGCTGGAGAAAGCTGAAGAGCCATTTAGGATTAACTAGGTAGAGCTTCAGGAATCTGATCAGATGCTGCTCTCTGATTGGACAAGAGGAGTTGAAAAGGGGAGGTGCTTGTAGAAAGATCAATAAAGCTTCAGAGGAGCCACAGAAGAGAAGCAGAATCCCATAGCCTGGAGTCACTGCCTGGCCCTGCTGGGATTCAAAGAGCTCTGGGCATCTGGTCCACATCTGGATCCTTTACTCCCAGATCCATCAGGATGAGCATGGAGGCCCCACCCAGACTCCAGGAGCTGTCAGTGCAGATCCTGCTAAGGAACCAGGCCTTGGGTGTTTCTTCTGTGGACAACCTGCCACTGGGGCTCTTCCTTCAGCTCTTCAAGGAGGCCTCTGCTTGCAGAAGCACTGAGAGCCTGAAGGCTATGGTACAGGACTGGCCCTTCCCCTGCCTCCCTCTGGAGGCCTTGATGAAGACAAGAGATGTGAGGTAAGTAAAGATTGCCCTGGATGGAGGCACCTGCACACCCATGTTTATGGCAGCACTATTCACAATAGCCAAGTTATGGAAACAGCCAAGATGCCCCACCACTGACAAATGGATTAAGAAAATGTGGTATTTATACACAATGGAATTTTATGCAGCCATGAAGAAGAACGAAATGTTATCATTCGCTGGTAAATGGATGGAATTGGAGAACATCATTCTGAGTGAGGTTAGCCTGGCCCAAAAGACCAAAAATTGTATGTTCTTCCTCATATGCAGACATTAGACCAAGGGCAAACACAACAAGGGGATTGGACTTTGATCACATGATAAAGCAAGAGCACACAAAGAAGGTATGAGGATAGGTAAGACACCTAAAAAACTAGATAGCATTTGTTGCCCTCAACGCAGAGAAACTAAAGCACATACCTTAAAAGCAACTGAGGCCAGTAGGAGAAGGGGACCAGGAACTAGAGAAAAGGTTAGATCAAGCAGAATTAACCTAGAAGGTAACACACATGCACAGGAAATCAATGCAAGTCAACTCCCTGTATAGCTATCCTTATTTCAACTAGCAAAAACACTTGGTCCTTCCTATTATTGCTTATACTGTCTCTTCAACAAAATTAGGGATAAGGGCAAAATAGTTTCTGCCTGGTAGTGAGGGGTTAGGGTTGGTAAGGGAGGGAGCTGGGGTGGGGATAAGGGAGGGGGCAGGGAGAAGGGGGGAGAAATGATCCAAACATTGTATGCACATATGAATAAAAAAAAAAAGATTGCCTTGGATGGGATTGGCCAGCAGGTTCAACACAGGAGGTGCAAACTGCAAGTGCTGGATTTGTGGAAAGAGCGTCAGGACATCTGGACCACGGGCTACATAGTCTTGGCCCATGCCTGCTCTGTAGAAGACATGACTGAGCAGCAAGCAGCAAATCATAGCGCAGGGATGGTAGCAAAGCAGTCCATGAGGATATTTGTAGACATCTGCATCTGTGATCTGTTCCCAGATAAACTGCAAGCCCATCTGCTGTGGTGGGTCAAGAAGAGAAAAGACTTACTCCAGCAGCGTTGTAAAAAGCTGCATATCGATAAAATGCAGGAGGTTTTGCATATCATACATTTGGACCACTCCGGGAGCTGCAGGTAGATCATATCTGGAATCAGGGGATCACGAGGATGTTTCTTCCTTACCTGGGCAGAATGAGTAACCTTTGTGAATTTTCACCCTGACAGATGAGGGATTATATACTTGCGGCCCATAAAACCCGTGGCTTATCTCCAAATACGCCATTCAGTTGCAAAAGCTGGAAAATCTCAATGAGCTCTATGTACATGATGTCTTCTTCCTTTATGGAAAACTGCATGAGATACTCAGGAGCCAGACACCCTTGGCGAGCTTCTCTTTGAGGTCAAGCCCACTTATGCTGTCAGACTTGAGGCATCTGTCCCAGTATCCCAGCAACCAGCCAGCTCAAGTACCTGCACCTACATGACTGCTCTTTGAAAGACTTGAGTCCTGAGCTCCTCCAAGCTCTGCTAGAGAAGTGGTCGACACCCTTGAGAGCCTGCTCTTAGAGGACTGTGAGGTCACTGACTCCCAGCTGGATGCCATCCTGCCCATCCTGAGCTGCTGCTCCCAGCTCACCATGTTCAGTTTGTTTGGGAGCCGCATCTCCAGTGTCACCCTGGAGAACCTATTGAGGCACACTGCCAGACTGAGCCAGTTAAGCCGAACACTCTGGAGAACTATGACCCCGACTGGGATCATACCCACTCTGAGAGATTTACCCACGTTCAAGTGAAGTTGGGGCAGGTATTAAGGGACATCAGACCACCCCATAAGGTCCAGATCAGTACCTTTGTCTGTCTTCCCTGTTAAAAGGTATTGATTTTCTAGCCAGGAGCCCAGTGGCACCTGGGTAGACTCAGAGAAGTATCACTCTCCCTCTGTTTCTACTTGTTCTCTTTGTCCATTTTATTTGTTTTGCAGTGCTTAGGATCAAACTCAGGGCCTGGTGAATGCTAGACAGGGATTCTACCATGGAGCTCCACCCCAACTTTGTATTTTAAAAAAAATCTGCTCTGGAAACTGTGTCACCCAGTATTTATCCCACAGTCTTCTTAAAATTACCTGTCAAGGAATCTTAGACTTTAGCCAAGCCAAAAAAAAAAATAAAAAAAGAACTACTTTATGATCTTGCTATACCACTCTTGGGCATATATCTAAAGGAATGTAAGTTGACACACAACAGAGGCACCTACACATCCATGTTTATAGCAGCACTATTCACAATGGCCAACTTATGGAATCAGCCATGGTGCCCAAATGATTGGATAAAGAAAATGTGGTACATATATACAATGGAGTATTATTCAGTCATAAAGAATGAAATTGTGTCCTTTGCAGGAAAATGTGTAGAACTGGAGATCATCATGTTAAGCAAGATAAGTCAAGCTCAGAAAGACAAAGATCACATGTTTTTGCTTATGTGGAATGTAACCTAAAATATGACAGTATTATACAAGGGGTTCTATTTGAGGGGTAACCATTGGGAGGGTGGAGGAGGAAAGTTGTGGGTGATGGGGGATGGTGAATATTGTAGAAGTACATTATATATATGTATATATATATACATATATATATGAAAGTAGCATAATGAAACCTATTAAAAACTGTTGAAAAGAAGGAATGATAAGGGAGTGGGGTTAGGAAAGTATAATATAGATGGAATGAATTTGATCAAAGTACATTATATGCAGGCATGTAAATATCACAATTAGTCCCCCTTTATAATTAATTATGCTAATAAAAATTTTAAAAAGAAATCAGTCAAACTGCAAACGTGCCAAAGTGTGGTACGCATTTATAATTTTGCTTGTACAAATACTATTTTACTTATTGTAGAATTTTAAAAGTAAGTCATTTGAAAAGAAAGCTCCTTTTCACAAAGGTTATCTAGCTGATTACTGGATTAGGTGGTGGTGGCAGTGGCTGAGGAGCAAAAGTAGTGTGGTAGAAAAGCTAAGATAGTGACTTGGATATGAAGGATAAGCCCAAGTTACAGCTGCACATGCAATTCCAAATAAGAAGGACTCTACATTGCAGCCCCTCCTTATTTGACTGAAGGGGAGTGCTATGGTCAGATACAAATGCAAGGGGATTCACATTTTGGAATGCCTGCAGGCATTTCTTATCTCTATTTTAAGTAAGGACGTTTCTGAAGTGAACAAAGGCAGTATGAAATCCTGGAATTTGAAATGAGACCCAAGTTGAAATCTCAGTTCTGCCACTCAGTTTTCTCATCTGACAAAAGGGGGATATAGAGTTATCTGCTGTATGGGGTAGTTTTAAGCAAAGCAAAACAAAACAAAACAACACAAAAAAACTCTTGGCATTACCCTTAGTATACGGTAAGTACTCTGTAATGTCATCTATTATTGTGTGTGCTGCCTGAAGAAATTTTTAAATGAGGGACACATAAAAAAATGCTAAATAAATGAGAAAAATTCTTTTGGAACGAAGAAATGCCAAACATTTACTCGTTCAACAAATCACTATTTCCTGCCAAGGGCCTTGCTCTGAATGACTTCTACTTAAAACAAATAAGCAGTAATTTCTATTACTGCTTCCTCTGGTGTGAGCATTTGGGAATGTTCACGTGAGAGGCTTTGTGGTTATCTCTTGCAGAGGTCCTTGAGGACTAGAGCCAGAGCAGGTCACCAGGATCTCATTTTCTGGGAGATTGTAAGGTGCGGATTAACTAGTCTCCCCTATTAGCATTTTTCCTCTTAGGATTCTTTCTGACTTTTTATGGTCCCCTTTTCTGTTTCCAACTTGCTCTGAAGTTTCTGCCTAAATCATGACCTTCGAGTACGGGGTCTGTGTGTAATTTTTTTCAGTCACTTAATGTCTGCTCTTTATTTTCTTTCCTGGCCCAAACCCATCACTAAATTCTCCTCATGTCCTGTTTCTCCTTTTCCCACTTTGTTTGAAACCTCCGCACCTTCTCCATTCATATCTTTCCTTTTCTTCTGCATAGCTTGCACCCTTATGACTCTGCTGCCTCCTCACCGTTTGCTCCACCCTTTTCTTTTCTAGTCCTCCTACGTGCCAGGTGGGTGAGTAAACGCGGTGACAAGGCGACACTTCTGCCCCCTGTGGCGATCGCATTAACTGCAGAAGCGGCGACCTTCTCACACCTTAGCGCCCTCCTCCCATAGCTCCTGAAGGCCAGGTTTCCCACACTGGGCCTTGACACCCACAGCCTTTTAACTCGTCTGCAGCTTCCGCCTCTTATTCGCGCCTTCTTTTTTCGGCTCCGAGGGGGCGGAGTTGGACAGCTGCGCCACCGTTGCCTAGGCGACGCCTTGGTTACTTCCGTCGATCTCAATGCTTCCGGGTTGGCGCTGCGGTGGCGTTTCCGACTGTGGGAGTCTCGGCTTCCCAGTCGTCTGATGAGCCCGAGCAGGTGAGAGGGTGCTCCTGGACTTCCAGGCTGGGGAGCGGGGCTGGGCCGCGCCAGGCCGCGCGGGGCCGGGCTGGCCTGGTTCCCGGCCTGGGAGGGGCTTAACGGTCCTTTGATCTCTCTCTCCCCTCAGCTGAGTCCCTTCCCTGTCTTTCACTCTTCTGGCATCGGTGGTTTTCCTTCTTCGATTGAGCCCTGCTTCCTCGACCCCCCTGGGAGGCCGCCTCCTTCAGGCGCCTCCCTTCTCTCCACGAACTCGCTCTGACAGCTGAGGAACTGGCAAGATCCTGCTACCCAGAGGGTGAATGGGTATCTTTCCCGGAATAATCCTAATTTTTCTAAGGGTGAAGTTTGCAACGGCGGCCGTGATTGTAAGCGGAGTAAGCAAACACCTCCATTGTATTAGTGTAAGGGATGCTGTTGAAAGATGCTCCCCTTCAGTTTCTACCCCCTGTCACTCCCGAGGTCCAGGCATTGAAGGCATCTATTAAAATGCAGTTCAGTTGCTTGATTGGGATGACAGCTATTATTAACACGAATTAGTTTCTCAGACAAGGTAGCAGAGGGACTTTTCTAGTTTTCTGTCATTGGTTCCTTGTTTTCTCCCCAGGCTAAAGACGCTTAGAGTAGTCCTGAAACCTTTTCCTCCTTTTCATTCCCTGCACCATTAAGTACCTTTTTGTCTCCATTCCAGAGTTTATCTCTAACCTCACTGCCAACAAGTATCTTTGTCTGCCTTACTTCACACCATCCTGAGCCAGTCTCCCTGCTTCTCCCGTTTGTAATCCACTGTGCTTGCTGCAGCCCTACTAGACCAACCAAAATATGGATTTCCTCAAGTCACTTCCCTGTTAAAAAAAATTTACAGTGCGCCGCCAACACCTTGCTTTCCAGCCTTACTATATAACCTGCTCCTTTTACTTGTTTCAGCCAACAAGTGGATTGTGTTTTGTAGTTGAGGCCTTAATTTTTTTCTCAGTGCAAAACATGGAAACCTACCTCCACATTTGTTGCTACATTTGTGTCTATTCGTCCTGTCTCCTCCTCCACCAGTTTCCCTTACCTGCATCTATCCAGATTCAGCCTACCCTCTGTCAAAACCCAGTAATTCAGGTTCATGCTGATTGTCTCCTTTTCCATGCTTCTCTTGTTCTTATAGATGGTAGTACGCAATTTAATGCTTAATTTTTCTCTAACGAAGTACTTTGATTTCTTCCACCAGATTTAAGCTTTTAAAAGTCAAGGATTATATTTCATACAATTTTTGTCTCTGCCCCATCTCCTTGATATTATCAAGGAAAAATAGGTTGAACAGCAAATATCGTCTTGGTGTTAGAACATATTTCTATGATTTTTTCAACATGACAGTCACACTCATAACACATTGCAGGTTTGAGCATTTAGTATGACTTCTGTAAATAGTTGTTGGCTCCTAATTGTTACCTTCTGAACCCAAGAATCTCTTTCTTAAATGAGAAAGCAAGAAAGGCACCCCAAGTTTCCTGAACAGATCTTTGGAGTAGTGTAGCACTGTGTAACTTATATTCTAGGACATTTTTGTTGTTTCTTGTTTGGCTATCAAGATCTTTAATCACATCTTTAGAATACATGTCAGCATTTTGAAGGCAATTTTCATTGGCTTCTTTATACATTAAAAACATTTAGTGTATATTTCTGTTTTAACTTAGTGATGGTTTCTGTCCTTATGCCCATATCTGGGGTTAGCCCACACAAGTCAAAATAATTTTAAGAGGTCTTGGGGATTGTTTCACACAAGTAATTCTCTGCAACAAAAGCCAGAGAGGAGGATATATAGGCAGAGAATATTTGGGAATCAGGGATGTGTCGTTTATAGGATGTGTAGGATTGACCAGGTCCAGCAAGTTACCTTCTGGTTTCCCCTGTAATCTTTTATATGCAGACTGCGTATATAGGTTCAGTATATCACATTGTAAAACCAACTGTTTAAAGGATGTGTACTCAATTCTGCTCTAGCTATTCTAAGGCATATAAAAAATGATATATGGTGTCTGCCTTCAGGGATCTTAACTATTTAAGAGAGGAAGTAATATGGAACAACTAGAAGGTAAACCTCATACTAGTCATTATTTTTATGCATGGATTTAAGATACAGAAGAAATGAATGAAAGTTCAAAAGCTTTAGAATAGGTGTGATATAACATGCATGCGTGTGTGCAGCCTTATGTAAAAGACTCAGAGTACGCTGACAATCTAATGATTTTAGTAGTGTGATATGACTCCCTAAAAAGCAATTGCAGTTTTCAGCTACAGTAATTGAAGTAAAGTCTATAGAATGAAGAATATGATCAGGAATATTTAGATAGGTATCTTCAAATATTTGAAGGACTCCCCTAGGGAAAAAGAGTACATTTGTTCAGTATTGCCTCCACACTGGGCTTGTATAAGGAAAGTCTGTGTAAAACCAGACCTAATCAACAACGATACAGAATGTCTTCATGAGATTCTTTTTTCTCTGATGGTACTGGGAGTTTGAACTCAGGGCTTTGAGCATGCTAGGCAGGTGTTCTACTGCTTGAGCCATACCCTGGCCCCATAAGAGTCTTTTCTAACACTGGAGTGAAAAAGATTTTATTATCAGATGTGAATGGGGAGGTGGCAATAGGGGCAGTTTTAGGTTTGTCTAGGAGTCTTCAGACTTGGATTTCATGGACCAGGAAAGTTTAAATGAAAGTATGGTGAGGGGCCACAAATACAGGTCAGTCAAGCTTATTTTGCTAAGTAAAGACAAACAAACAAAATCAACTACCAATTGTTATTATCATTTCATACAAGAAGGGGGTTTCAATATTCCAGGAGTATGAAAAAAATGTGGTCTGATAGTAGTCCTTTATTTTAAACAGTTAGCTGAAAAGAAGCCCTAGATATTTTTCCATATCACTTCAGAATTGTGAAAACTTCGTTAGGGAACCCCTGGGCTAATTGGCCCAAAATTCAATGATCTTTCTGCTTCCTGTGATGGCTTGATTCCCTGCCTTTTACTGATTCATGTTTCCTGAACCTTGAGCACACTGTCCTTATTTAATGGCTAGAGAGCAGATACTAAAGTTCTAATAGAGGTTTTCTCTGTAATGAGAAGTGAGAAAAGAAGTTATAAAGAGAAAGTTTTGGGGAGAAGCCCAGCAGCTGTCTGAAATGTTTAAGACTATTTGGGGGAATGTCTAAATGTGTCAATGGAGAGTGATTTTTTTTCCCATAAACCCAGAGAGGGAACATGCCATCAGCTTCTTTTCCTTCTTTACTCTCTCACCATGTGTTGTGTTTTACTATCAATTCTAATCTTAAAATATAGGCATAGCTAAAAATGTTGATAAGGTAGTATTTAGTATTTAAGACTTATTTCAGCTGGGCATGGTGGCTCATGCCTATAATCCCAGCTACTCAGAGGGTGAACATTGGGAGGATTGTGGTTTAAGGCCAGTCCTGGTAGCAGAAAGTTAGCGAGACACTATCTCAGTCAATAAACCAGGTGTGATGGTGTGTGCCTGTCTTCCCAGCTTTGATGGAGGCTGCAGGTAGGAGGACTAAAACTTGAGACTGTACCTGAAAAATAACTAAAAAGCCAAAAAGGGCTAGGGGGATGACTGAAGTGGTTGAGTGCCTGCTTAGCAAGCACAAGGCATTGAGTTCTAGCTCCAGTATCACACATGCACAAAAAGACTTACTTCAAGCTGCAGTTGATATTTGAAGTATCCGTTCCTACTTTGCACTATTTTTTCAGCAAATTTCCTTCAATAGGACTGTCTCTAGACTCTGTATGTACTATGCTTGAAAGGAAGTTTCTATAATTATTTTTGTGGCCTGTAACTAAAACATTTATCCATATGCTTGCTGTCCTCTCTGGGAAATTGCTCTTTGCTTGGTTACAGAGAATTCCTTATGTAGAAACGAATTGAAGCCATGTCTACTATACAAAGAGTCTGTGACTCAAGGTGCTAAACCCAGATTGGAAATGGGGGAGAAGGGCAGAAAGTATTATCTGTTAAAGCAAAATTTGGGGACTTAAAATTTCAGAATTATAAATAATGTTAATCAGATAACTATTATTGCACTAGGTGCCAGGTACTTTTCTAGGTGTTTTATATATATAGCTTAATTTTCACAACAACTGTATGGTATAGCTTTTAATATTCCCATTTTATAATTCAGAAAATAGAGATATAGAGAGGTTGACCAATTTGCCCAGAGACACAGAACTAGTAAGTGGTTCTGACTAGTAATCAGGAGTTGAATCTGGATTTTAATTTAGGTTATCCAACATCATCATATTCTTCCTGACCATAAGCCACCTGAGGTAGCCTTTGAAATTCAGAAGTATACATAACTGTGAAGCTCTGAAAAACGAATATTTAAAGGAAATCTGAGCGTGCATGCGAAGAAAAGATCATACTGTAAGTTAGACCAGGATTTATCAGGTGATGCCAAGAGCAGTAGTTCTTAAGGGTGAAAGTGTCAGCTTTCTTGGGAACTTGCACATTCTCAGGGCCAGACCCGGAGCATAAATCAGAAACTCTAGGGGAGAGGCCCAGCAGTCCATGTTTTAATATACCTTCGGGATGATTCTGGTACTTGCTAAAATTTGAAAAACACTATCTAAAGGCCAGACTTATAGAAAAAAAAATCCAACACAGAAGGGGCTGAGAGTAACAGCAAAAGAGAAGAAAGATAAAAAGGTTGAATATGTTAGACCTAACGAGTGGGATGGCAAAGAAGAAAAAGGGACTGGGAGCAGAATATATAATTAAATAATCAGAATGTAAAAGAGCAGTATTTGTCCATATGCATATGTTTTAAAAGGTCAGGAAAAAGAAAATGAGATATATTAAATGGATTTATGTTAAATGTCAGAGAGTAGAGACATACCCATATTGCTGTCATTCCTGTGGGGGCCAGAAGGAAGGTGAAAAGGGGCTGAGCTTAGCCCAGGCCTATTCAGGTGGCTAGTTGTATATAGTTAGAAGTAGTTCCCAGAACTCAAACCCTAAAGTTTGCTGGAGAGATGAGAGGCTGAAAAGTAGTGGTGTCAGCTTTGCACCTGAATCAAGCTAACTGAATACCATGAACTGCTTTTATAAGATGCCTCTCAGCCTAGATAACTTGAATTCTAGGTTCCTTCACTTGTAATTGTCTGGTCAAATGTCTAAGTTGGGTGTGCTGGATGGACACCTCTTCTTTGGGTGGGGAAAAGTATAATATTTAATAAACCAGAGAGAATAAGGGGTACAGGTTGATCTTTGAGTGACTTGCACACCTATTCCTACTGAATAGTATTAAAGAGCAAATGCATGATCATCCAGCACAGGACCCCACATTTTGTGTCATTTCACTTAGTAGGATTTTTTGTCTACATCTGTTTTATTTAACAATTTTGTTGATCTAAATTATATGATCAAATGCTAACAAATGCTTTTCACTCTTGTGCCTTGTTCTGATTTGTGTTATTTTTAGCACCAGAAAAGTTCCACTGTAAGCCATGAGATGTCTGGTCTGAATTGGAAACCCTTTGTATATGGCGGCCTTGCCTCTATTGTTGCTGAGTTTGGTAAGAGTGTAAAAAAATGATAAGTATGCATTATGCAATAGATGGTGATGTATGGTGACAGTTATTTTTTGGTGAAAAGTAGAGAAAAATAAACATGTGTTTTTTGTTTTAAAAATTATTGCCTCAAAGCCATCAAGTAATATTTCTGAGAAAGTACTGCTAATAAATAGTTCAGCAACTGAAGTTAAGAAAAATCAAACTTTGGAAGCTTTTTTGACATTTTAGTGATTTTTTAATTTTCTAGGCTTAATATGCATGAAAATACAGAAGGAGTTGTGTATGATAGCGGTTTCTGCTGTTTTTCTGTACTAATGGTTTTTCTTTTGTGCTAAGTTGTTTATAACTTTCTTTGTAAGTACCCAAGCTTCTTTGTTTCAAAACTCGGTCCTAAACTAACAAGACTGAACAAGATTCTTCTCTATTTCATTTTAATTTTGAAATGTTTTAAGACTGTGATTTTTTCATTTTCCAGATTTTTCTCTTTCCTTAACTATTCATAAGTGGCTACAATCCACTAATCTTTGTTAATGTTTTTGGTATGTGCTCTGGTGTTGTGATATCCAGGTCACAAGTGTCTATAACTACATAATGACCTTACTAGTTTTAGACCTTGGACATTCCTTGAAATAGATTTTGTCAGTGTAGAGACCACTTCTATGTGTTGATATAAGAAATTCCACCCTTAGGCACTCTGCTAGCATTAGTCCTGAATTATCAAAGGAAAGAGGATTAGTAGAACTAAATAGGACTTTGCCATTATCTTTCATAATATTAAGGAGCTGTTTGTTTTAAACAGATAAAAAAATCACACACACATTTTTTAACAGAATATAAGAACATCTGGAGCAGCAAGTCCATGTTTTCCTGCATTTGTGAAAATTTGGGAGATTCTATGAGGGAGAGATGGGGAGGTTTGAGGTGGGAGGGGATGGGTGAAAGAGATGATAAATGCTGTATTGTATGTTACAGATGAAATTAAAGTAACATTTAAATCTTAAACCACTTTATATGTTACAATGTCAGGTATACTACAGGTCAGATTGTGCTGCTTAGATAGTCTGGTACATTTCACTTTATCACATACAAACAACTCGTCCTCTGGCAGTGGTGTTCTAGTTGTGATCTTCTGTATGTTATGCTCTTTCTTAGGTTTCAGGTATTGTCCTTACATTTAACAAAAACTTAACTGTGACTCTGGAAATACTTATAAGCGAGTGTGTTCCTTTATAGGAACTTTCCCTGTGGACCTTACTAAAACACGACTTCAAGTCCAAGGCCAAAGCATCGATGTCCGTTTCAAAGAGATAAAATATAGAGGGATGTTTCATGCCCTGTTCCGAATCTATAAAGAAGAAGGTGTATTGGCACTGTATTCAGGGTAAGACTGGATTCCTTCCTTATATCATGAACAGAAATGCTTTTTCAAAAGGCCACACATTTCAACTGTAGATAGTTTATGCCCTTCGTAGTCACCATTTCAATTTGAAATTCTGTATCAATGGGCCAGTTTATATTAAACCTGCTTGCAAATCTTGAGCTTTGAATGTTGTGTTCATCTAGCTGTAGGTAATACATGTTAAAATGGATACTTCATGGCAGCATAGGCTTTCTCCTGCTTTTCTGAGACTCACCAATGGCCTTGTTAGCAGCAGCACTAATTAACCCATATATTTTTGTAATATTTTCCCTGAGTTGGCAAATACTGACTTCCTTTAAGATTTTTCTCTGTAAAGAAATATTATTCTGGCAATTTAAACAGAAATGTAGAGTGACAGAGAGGGAGACAGATTTAGTTTGGTCAAGTTTTGATTTTCCATCAGCTTGTTCAGTATGTAGTTTATGTGCTGCCAATTTCCTAGGCTATCGTAATTCTAGGCTACCAGTTTATTGCTCAGAGAATGGAAATCAATTTTATTATTAACCTATATTATGCTTATTTAAAAGATAATTTTCTTGGAGAGAAAAAAATCAAGTCATCATCCTGAAGCAGTCGATTCATGGATCATCTGTTTTACCTTGTTCTTTGATCAGCATGGATAATCACAAGATTTTTTCCTGATCTCAAGAAAAAAGTCATAAATATGCATATTTAGTCATCGTTTTCCAATCCTAACTATTTGAACTGTTGCTGCCTTTCTATTTATATCTCCTAAAGTGTAGTTCAGCAATTTGGAGGTTTCTCAAAGGAGGTATGAGTGAGAATGTCTCCAGTTTATGAGCAGAACTAAATAGGTTGAGATCTTGGCTTTAGTACTAGTTTGTTGGTAGAGTTAATGAGATAGTTTTAACTGTTAACTAATGAGGTAGGTAATAGTATATAATTATTTTTGTACATTGCTAGATTCAATTTGCTAATCTTTTTAAAAGGAGTTTTGCATCTAAGTTCACAGGAAATATTGGTCTATAGCTTTCTTTTTTTTTGTACTATTCTTTGTTTGGTTTTGGTATCAAAATGCATTGGGAAGCATTCCCTCTTCTGTTTTCTGGAAGAGATTGTATATGATTGGTGTTCATTCTATAAATGTTTGGTAGAATTTCTCAGTAAAATTACCTGTGCCTGGAGATTTTTTTGGAGCTTGAAAATTATTAATTCAAATTATTTAATGTTGTCTTAGTTTGTGCCACTATAACAAAAGACTATTGACTTGGTGGCTTATAAACAACAGGAATTTGCTTCTCACAGTTCTGGAGATTGGGTTCTGGTAAGTTCTCTCTTATGGGTTGCAGATTTCTTGTATGTACATATGACAGAAAGAGCAAGTGCTGTATGGGATTTTTTTTCAAGTAAACCAGGAGAGTTTATTGAGATAGAAAAGTGTAAAGTGGGAGAATTGAGCCCCCAGTGTTGGGGGGGTTCCAAGGAGTGGTCTTTTTTTTTAATAGTATTAATGCCACTGCATCACACTTGTGACCTATTTATTTCCCAAAGGCTCTGATTTCTAATCCCATCACATTGGGGTTAGGATATCAATTTGTGACTTGTTGGGAGAGGATGCAAATGTTCAGTCCATTACAGTGGTTATGGAACTTATTCAGATTATCTATTTTATCTTAATTGAGTTTTGGTAGTTTGCAGTTTTCAAGGAAGTACTCAATTTTTTCAATTTACTGCATTTATCAGCATACAGTTGTTTATGCTATTCCTTTGTCCTTTTGATGGCTGCAGGACTTACAGCACTGTGCTATTTCATTCCTGATACTGGGGATTTTTATCTTCTATCTTTTTATCTCTGTGAGTCCTGCTAGAGGTTTATCAATTTTATTAATTTTTTTCAAAGAGTCAACTTTTTGTTTCATAGATTTTTCTCTGTTTTCCTATTTTCAATTCATTGATTTATGTTCTTCTTAATTTTCTTCCTTCTGCCTGCTTTGCATTTGTTTTCCTCTTTTCTAGTTTCTTGCAATAGGAAATTAGATTATTGATTTGAGACTTTCTCTGTTTTTTAATGTGTATACTTTGTGCATAAATTTCCCTCAGCACTGCTTTGTCTATATCTCATATATTTTAATAAAATGAATATTAATTTTCAGGTCTATGTATCAAAAATTTCTTTTGAGATGTTCTCTGACCAATGGATTATTTAGACATGTGTTATTTAAGTGAGCATTTTCCTTATTGATTTCTCCTTTGCTTCCATTATGGCCAGAGAATATACTCTATACAACTTCAGTTGTTTTAAACTTGTTGAGATTTGTTTTATGACCCAGGATGTGTGCTTTCTTGGTCAATATTTCATGGTGCTTGAAAAAAATGCATATTTTGCTGTTGTTGGGTGGAATGAGGTGGGTAAAATAAATGATATCTATCTACCTATCTATCTATATATTTATCCTGAAAATGCATATCAAGTAAAATTAACTTTTCTTTATTTCTCTTTTTTTTTCGTGGGGGGCAGAATTGCTCCTGCTTTACTAAGACAGGCATCGTATGGCACCATTAAAATTGGGATTTACCAAAGCCTGAAGCGATTATTTGTAGAACGTTTGGAAGGTCAGTATACTTAACACTCTATTGAGGTGATCCTCAAAGGGATCATGCTTGATGTGAAGTGTTTATCACGTGATGTCTGAGAATGGACGACTACAAGTACAAAGTGAGCTTGTATTGACTTGGGATAAATCGTGGCAGAGGTGATACATAGGTTAGAGGAAGCTGCTTTTCAAATTCGTCTTTTTCCATCAATAAGAATGCTTCTGGTTATCTCTAAGGAAGCATGCAACAATCATGTCCAGAAAATTAGTGCTATCCTCATCAGAAAGAGGATTTTAACTATCAGACATTTTTTAGTTGCCAATTTTGATAAGCCTTTTTTAGGTAGATTAATTTTAGCCTATTACGTTCTAGATTCTAATATACTTATAGACACCTTACCCATGTGCAACATGGCCTCTATTTTCTGCTGTAGAATTTTCAGCCTGATACTAAGTAGTTAATTTACCACAGGCCTGGGGATGTTGGATGGTTGGGAACAGGTGGAGAGCCTTTCAGTTAGTAATGCCTTTTGAATCACTTTATTACCCTAAATTATCCTTTTCTGGAGCCTCTTCTTTGGGAATCCTGAAAAGTTCCCTTTCTCATCTTTCTAAGGTAATTTCCTTTCATAGATTCTTCTTTTGGGTTTACTGAGTTTCTATTTGTAGGCTCTTTATGGTGGGAAGGAGTGGTGAAGATTGAATTTTCTTTGTAGAACAATGTACTCTGTGATTTCTGTGTGCTCTTTTTCCTAGCTGAGAGTATTTTGTTCTAAATTATTGCATTTTTGGACTGAGGGTATACCTCAGTGGTAGAGTGCTTGCCTAACATATGTGAGATCCCGATTTTGCTCCTCAACACTGCAAAAGTAAATAAATTACTGATTTTTCACATTTGACCACAGAAGTATTCCATAAATAAACAGAGGCTAGGAGATATGAATATCCAGATAACTTTTCTATTAGACATAAGATTTTATTATTTAATTATTTAATTTTGGCAGTACTGGGGGTAAGACTTTATCTTTTCACATCCAGTTCTTGAGTCTTTACAGTTGGTAGTTAATCATGAAAGACTTTTAAAAAAAGATTAGTTATATGTTTGAAGTGGTTGAAAGGGAAATAACCACATCCTGAATTGATGTAGTGTTGACAGTTATGTAGAAGAATAGGACATATTCCAGTATCTTTTAGAAATAATAATTTATATTTTATAATTTTTATATATTTTATACTGAGTTGGGATCTAGAAATATTTGTGTTTCTTTATTTTGGTAAGCTTTGTAGGTCATTTCTAAAGTCATTTCTCTGGTCAAGGTTCCCTTTCTCTGATAGCTCAGTACTCTCCTCTCAGAAATTAGTGCCTAATAAAAGCAGACATTTCTTTTTTTATCCTTTTTACAGATGAAACTCTTCTAATTAATATGATTTGTGGGGTAGTGTCAGGAGTGATATCTTCTACTATAGCCAATCCCACTGATGTTCTGAAGGTAAGAGAGATGTCTGCAGTGTAATTTGAAAAGAAAACAAGTTTTATGTTAGATTCCTACTCTGTCCATTGCCAGCTGTAAAAGCTTATGCAAATCACTTAATTGCATCAAGCTTGATTCAGTTTCCTCATTTGTAAAATGAAGTTAATGCAATGCTTATAACATAGAGCTTCGAAGAACTAGAGGTAATATGTGTAAACTGCCTAACATTGTACATGGTAGTAGTGCTAAATAAATAGTAGTCAATTTATTATGATATGCATTGGTCTACAAGCTAGGGTATGCAAGCTCTTATAGGTTCTTTTCAAGGGCTGTGCAGTTTTAAAGGAATCAGTGTCCAGATCCTTTACTTCCGTTTGTATTCTTTCCTAAAACTGGTCTGAGAGTAAATCTGTATTTCTAATAGCCATTTTTCCATTTTACAAAAGAAACATATCCCTTACCCATTCCAAATCTTCATATGGTTTGTTGACCTGTGGTATCAGAGATAAATTGAGATATGGTTTTTGGAGAAGTCTCCTTTAATAACTAAATGGGTTACCTTAAATTTGTACCATCTCTATCTTTCCCTGTCTTATCCATGTTTCTATTAGGGGTGAAATTTAGCTTTAAAATAGTATATTTTGGTCTGTTTTGGGATATTCTGCATTTAGAAACAGCACTATGAATTACTGGTGCTGATTTGTTAAGAATATAATTGGATTTCTTTAAGGTTGTATCAAATCCCAGAATAAAACACTTATTTAAATATCAGTCTTCATTTTCCCTATTTCATAAGTGGTAAATATTTCTTTTTATTAATGTATTTAAATTTATGATTGATTTAAAGCACTAAATATATCGTTAGATAAGCAAAAGGCTCTCAAGTTTTTAAAAATTATTTTAAGGGGACTGTGAGACAAAAGCAAGAGGATACATACTTTATTTCAGCACTGGTGAAACCATAAGTGGTTAGGTTAGTGAAGAACTGATCTATTGTAATTCACAGAGTTTTGAGAACTTAGTGAGTGACATGAAAAGTAGTACCACATGTGAAAGAAACCACTGGTGGTTGACAGAGAAAAAATATGAAATAATCTTTTTGGATTAAAGTCAGCATAATTTAGCTATAGATTTTTATATCACTTTAGGTGTAAAGAATACATATTTATGAAGAGAAATGACTATCCTTAAACTCTAGAATATTTGTAATATAATTATACTTGTTAGAATGTGCTTTTCAAGAAAAATAATACTCAACTCCCTGAAACTTCCTTTCTTATCCGTCTGGATCCTACACTTAATCACCTTAGCCACCCTCATCAATTTCCTGTCCCTGTGAACTCTCTGGCAAAATTACCACCATTGACAAATGCTACCATCTACCCTTTGCTTTCTTATACCTCAGTAGTGATACCTCAGAGTGATCCTGGACAGGAGGGAAGTCACAATTTCAGACTGTGACCCTGTCAGTCTGATTTATAAACACAATTGGGCCTTTCAGTTCTTTCACTTATCCTTGGACAGCTCATTTTTCCTATCCTCAAGGGCATTTTAAATCTTCAAGCTTTCTTCTTTCATCTCCTCATTTCTCTTTCAGCCGACCACATTACCATCTATGACCTGTCAACTTCTTGACCTTACCACTTTTCAATTATAAATTTCTCCACACTTATACCTACCTGCACATTGTCTCTACTGTAGTGGTTCTCAAAACATGATTCTTCAGACCCGCAGCATCAGCATTACCTGGGAACTTGTTAGAAATGCACATTCTGGAGCCTCACCTTACACTTACTCAATTGGCAAGAGTGTAATGTGGCCCAGTTTGTGTTTTGAAAAGACTTCCAGATGATTTGCATACATGATCAAACTTAAAAAAAAGGGCTTTACTCTGGTCTTACTTACTTCTGTTTCATTAGGGACCTTTCTGTATCATTTATACTTTCCCCCCTTATTTTTAGCCTCTTCCTCTGTACTGGTTAGCTCCCCTTAAATGATAAATATATTCAAGTCTGTCTTGCTTAAAATACTTTCTCCTGACCCTCTAATTTCCTCAAAACACCACCCTCTCTTTTCCTTCCCTTATCCAATTTCACAAGAGTAGTCTTCACGTTCCATTCCCTTGCATAACCTGCTGTAATCACTTGTGCTACTTGACTGAAACTACTCTCCTGAGAGTCAGCAGCAATGTCCACATTATCCAATCCGGTGGTTTTTGTTCTCATTTTACTTAACCTATTTGACTAATTTTTTCCTGCTTGAAGTTCTTCAGTTTTGATTCTTCTCCCAGGTTTCATGCTCCTTCATTTTGTTTGAGAGTTTCTTTTTTCTGCACCTACCCCACATGTCTTTTCTCCCACCCAAGATTCTATTCTTAGCTATTTTGTCTTCTACAATCTCTTCTTGATCAACCATTTTCATTTGTTAAGACTTTAGCTCTCACTATATTACAGGCCAAGCTGTAACAAGGAAACTAAAAAATACAGTGGCCCAAACAAGATATGAGTTCATTTTTCCCTCATGTTGCAGTCGAGAGGAGAGCAAATTATGCTGATTTGGCAGTTCTACTCCATGCAGTCATCCAGGACCCAGGTTCTTTCAGTTATGCTGCACATCCATCTTCTAGGTTAGAAAACTACTGCCTGTAGACTGAATCTGACCTGCTGTCTGTTGTAAATAAAGTTTTATTGGAACACACACTTTATTTTTTTTTATGTATTGTCTATGGTTGTTTTTGTGTTTCTGTAGCAGAACTGAATTGTTGTGACAGGCTGCAAGCCCTACAAAGTCTAATATATTTACTCCCTGGCCCTTTACAGAAAAAGTATGCCGACCACTGTACTATGGTATTGTTTTAGGCTGTATAGTTGAAGTTGGGCCACCATCACACCAGTATTCCAGCCCGTGGAAAGACAGAGTCAGAGAAAAGCAATTTCTTTTTGTTTTGCCAAAAATAAAATCAGATTAACTTAGGAAAAATTTTTAAAGTTTATTTTTATGCAGCAAGAGAAAGTATAGATTGTAATCCAGAAGACTTCCAACCAAGTGGTAAGAAGCTCCCCTTATAGCAGTTACAGCAGAGTTCATAATGCATAAAGGAGGATTATAGGGAGATTGGTTCCAGGATCCCTGTGGATACCAAAAATTCTCGGATGCTCCAGTCCCTTATATAAAATGCCATAGTATTTGCATATAACATATACACATCCTTCTGTATACTTTAAATCATCTCTAGATTACTTATAATACTTAATGTATTATAAATGCTATGTAAATGAGTATTATTCTGTATTGCTGAAGGAATGGTGACAAGGAAAAAGTCGATAAATATTCAGTATAAATGCAAGTTTTTTTCCAAGTATATTTGATCAGTGGTTAGTTGAATTCACAGATACAGAAGGACTGACCTTTTTTTTTTTGCAGTGCTGGAGTTTGAACTCAGGGCCTACACCTTGAGCCACTCCACCAGCCCATTTTTGTGAAGGATTTTTTTGAGATAGGGTCTCATGAACTATTTGCCTGGTTTGGTTTTAAACCACGATCCTCCTGATCTCTGCTTCCTGAGTAGCTAGGATTACAGGTGTGAGCCACTGGTGCCTGGCAGGGCTGATATTTTTGATATATTATTCTTTTTAAGGCAAATAGAGCTGTTTAAGGTGATTTGTCTATAATCAATCAGTTCCAGTTCTCTGAGTCATGCTGACAAGGACATAAAGCAATTGGAGATAGTGTTTTGGGGAAATAAGGATAACTTAAGTTTTAGATGATGAGTGGTTGGTGTTGAGGTATAGCTCAACTGTTGCCTCCATTTTTAACCTTGGCAGTTTAAACCTTTGTGTAGTTTTTGATAAACAATTTCAAACATACACAAAAAATAGAGAAAAATCTAGTATAGTGACCATCTTTGTATGCATCACCTAGATTCACCCATGTTACTCTAGTTCTAGTCCTGCTCAGGAATCACTTCCTTGAACAAGTTTTCTACTTACTCAGGGTAGTTTTGATATGTCATTGTGATAGTTTACGTCTTGGTTTCATTGGACTAGAGTTTTATTTGAAAACTTTTAGTAGTTGCACTTAACTTTCTGCATAAAAGCTTGCTGCTGTTACATGACTTAGCAAGGGAATTCACTGAAACCAAAAATGGTAGAGTTGTGCTTCATGAAAATCAGGCCTACATTTTGGGCCACTACTATTTAGTGACTGACGACTATAATTCTGTGTGTGTAGAGTCTGGGAAATTGCACCAAATCTTTTACATGGCTATTTAATGCCATATTTCCTTTCTCGCAGCTCTCATAGGTCACTTGGCCGAATATAATATCATACTTTTAACAAGTAAAAATTAATTTAAGGTTTTGTAAACATAAAATTATATTTTAAAACATTTTTGCTTTTTGTAATTATATAAGCAATGCATGCTCAATATAGAAAGAAATGGAAGACAGAAAAAAAACACAAAAGAGAAAAATGCTCACTTGTAGCCTCACCATCAGATATAAACCACTGTTAATATTTGGCTATGTATGTTCATCTAGTCTCCTTGCTTGTGTTTATAGATTTTTTAACTTTATATGTTTTAACTAAAATTACGTATTGTTTTATAACCCTTTTTCTATTTATCAATTAATTTTCTATGTTTTCCAATGTCGACAGATAGTCTATAAAAGTACATTTTATGACTCTGTAATATTCCTTCTATTTCATTAAATGAATGTGTGATAATTAATGTAACCAATCTGTTGTCGTTTTAGACATTTAGTTTGTCTCTAACATTTACTAAACTAATTGTATTTTAAGAATTATTTTCTACTCTCACTGAATGCCTGTTCTTTTCCCAAATTTTTCTTCCAACTCCAAAAAGTATAGACTTAGTGTAAATAATGTAAGGTTAATGAAAATCATCTTTATAAAATATACTTTGATAAGGTTACATTATTTCTGTACATAGTTTATTTAGCTTATTAATTTAATCATAATATCAGAGATTTGTTTTTGAGATTTCCCAAATACTTTTTCTTAATTTTAAATGACTGACATATCTCATCTTGGTTTTCCCTATCAAAATAAAAACGTTCACCTATTCTTATTTTAGATTCGAATGCAGGCTCAAGGAAACTTGTTCCAAGGAAGCATGATTGGCAGCTTCATTGATATATACCAGCAAGAAGGTACCAGGGGTCTGTGGAGAGTGAGTGCTCTTTCCCTGTATTGTTCTATACTCTCAGTAACTAGAATTTGCAAAGAATACTTTTTTATCTATAAAGCCATAAAATTGTGAGTCACACCCCACCATAAAGGTAAGAAGCCCCGTATCACTTGTGAAAGGACCAAAACTTACCATTGATCTTTGTTTCTGCTTTAATGTTTGAGGATTGTATACATGGGAAAAGTGATTACTTTGTGATAGCCATTTTGATGTGTTCAAATTCCCATTGAATTTAGTTCTTCATTGTAGTTTTGTGCTAAACACAGCAGTATTGTCTATGATAGTTGCTGTATGCTTCTGTTCAAAGTTGTTATCTAAAATGATGTTTTTGATCTTATAGAAAGTAAAAGATGAACTGTAAAATATTGAGACAATACACAAAATTAGAAAGAAAAATTTCGGTATTCCCACCATCTAGAAATAATCACTGTGAACATTTTGTCATATTATCTTCTAATCTTCTATTTATACTTTGCTTTTTTGTTGTTATTGTTACTATAACTTTTAATCTATTGTGATCACTGAATGTTCTAATTGTAAATAAGTCTACTGGTAGAGTATGCAGAGAATGGAATGGGAAACCCATTGATAAACTTCTATTCTTTTTTGCAGGTACTGAGTTTTGAACTCAGGACCTTGCACTTGCACAAGCAATTCTACCGTTCGAACCATGCCCCTAGCCCTAAATTGTTTCTTTTTCTTTTTGGCAGTACTGGGGATTAAGCTCAAACTCACTTACTGGGCAAGTACTCTACTTGAGTCATGCCCCAGTCCAGATAGACTTCTAAATAAAAAACGAGAGCTTTGCTATTTTTCTTCCTTTATAATTTTCCACAATTATTTTTATTATAAAAATTCAAACATAAAGAAAAGTTGAACTGTGAATACTAGTTAGTCATGACCTGGATTAAACAACTGATGAAATTTGTCCGTATTTGCTTCATTTTATGTGTAGATGCACACACATATACATTGTTTTGATAAAGTATATGAAAGTAAGTTATAGACATTATGGCACTCCCCTAAATACTTCATTATGCATCTCCTAAGAATAGGAAAATTGTTCTACATGATAGCAATATCATTATCACATGAAAGGAAATTAATTATAAGTCCCTAATTCTTAATACCCAGTCCATATTAAAATTTCCTCTATTAATGAGACCAGGCTAGTTTTCATATAGAATATTTCCATGTAGTGCTTCACTTGTTCCTCTATCCCTGTTTCCTATAAACCGACACATGAGACCATTGGCTTGATTATATTCATGTTAAGCATTTTTGGTAAGAGAGTATCATAGGTGTATTTCATAGTGTCTCACAGCAGGAGGTACATGTTAGGTTGCTCCATGACTAGTGGTGCCAAGTTTGATTACTCAGTAAGATGGTGTCTGGCAGGTCTCATTGTTGTAAATGGTAACTTTTCTTCTCTTTGCAATTAGCAAGTAATTTGTTGGGTGATATTCTAGCAACATGCATATATACTAATACCTAATGACTGAACATAACTACTTTTATGATCCAGGTTGCTTACATGATCCAGGTATATGATGTAAAGAAGCAAAGTACATTGTGCTATGTGTTCATTTGAGACAAACATTTTTTATTTTCATATTTAAAATACAGGAATTTTTCTTCAAACCCCTGATCCTCTTAGTCTATTGTATTTTTCCTGCTTTGGTTGTAACAGAGGTACTAAAAGCATTTCGCTTTGTTTTTAACTCCATTTAAGAAAAAACAACAGGAGTTTAGTAACGAAGTATAACTGGCACTTAAATCAGAGTTGGGGTGACAGTGTGTGGTGAGGCCTGTGGTGAACTGGAGAGCACTGGCCTGTGAAAGAGGACAGCTGTTCCTCAGCTATAACCTTTTGCTCCCCTGTATTGATAGCAAGCCAGTGTAGTCTTTCAAGGGACCAGAAAAGAGAAGCTGGAAACTTGCATTTCTATGTGAAATACCTTAATTCTTCAAATGTTGACAAGTAATTGAATCTTTTAGAAGTACTGTGAGCCACAAAAAGCAGGTCTGTGGCCCGAATTCAGCTCACGGACCCCAGTTTGGGGACTTGCTGTTCACTAAAATAGCCTTCTGGGAAGGTCACCCTCTTTACCACAGTGAAGCTGGTGGAAGAATCAGAGACAAAGGCACTGTTTGGCTATATCAGCAGAATCAAGCATCTTGGCACAGCTGTATCACTCCCACTTTATAAATAGAGTTTGGGAATTTAGAGGTGATTGAACACTTTAATATAAAGAGATACCCCAAAAACCATTTATCCCCATGGCATATTATTTTCAGTTTTTATGGTTTATTTTCATTTATTCCTCAGCTTTACTGAGGTATGATTGATAAAAATTGTACATATTTCAGGGGTATAATGTTAATTTTAATTATTTAAACAGCTATAAGGGTAAACCATTCCTTATAAAAATGTAAAAAATATACAAATGCATAAAAATGAAAATTAACTTATCTTTTATCCTAATCCCAGAAAAATATTTTAATGTATTTCCTTTTAATCCTTTCTAAAATATTGACAAATATGTGTGGGACTGGAGTTTGAACTTAAAGCTTCGAGCTTGCAAAGCAGGCACTTTACCACTTGAGCCACACCTCCAGTCCATTTTGTTCTGGTTATCTTGGCGATGGGGGTCTTATGAACTATTTGCCTGGACTGGGCTCAAACCCTGATCCTCATGAACTCAGCCTCCCAAGTAGCTAGGATTACAGGCATGAGCCACTGGTGCCTGGCTCATACTTACCTTCTTTAACATTATACCTGAAGTATTTTCTTATATCATTAATATTCTTCCAAAATGTAACTTTTAATGTTGTAGCAACCCTGTGTTGTTACATGAGTTGTAAGAGCATTGTACTGTTGAGTAGAACACTGGTAATGTTACCACAGGAGGATGTGTAAGGGAAATACTGCTTTCCTTTGGCTCTTTCCTTACCTTAAGTACCTTTTGCTGTCACTCTAGTGTGTGTCCTTTCCTCATATCATAAAATTCTGTGAATCAACATTCTTACATTTCGTGGTCACTGTTTTTCATTTTAGACATAATGGGTACATAGTGGCATCTCATTCTTGTGTTTTATTAGTGTGTAGTAATTGTACAAAATAATGAGTTTCATTGTGATGTTTTGATACATGCACATAACATACTTTGATCATTTTCACCCCATACCCCTTGTCTATCCTCCCCCACCCCTAGACCCTTTATCTTTCCAAATAGTTCCACTTCTACTTTGATTTCTTTTCTTTTAAAATCTCAGTTCTGCACATTAAACTTGCCTTATTTGTCTTTCCAAGTTTGGCTTATTTTGCTTAACTTAATGATCTCCAGTTCCATCCATTTTCCTGCAAATGACATGATTTTTTTCTTTTTTATAACTGAATAACATTCCATTGCCTATATATGACATTCTCCTTATCCATCGATCTGTTGATGGACACGTAGGCTGATTGCATAATTTGGTTATTGCGAATAATACCATGATAAACACGGGCATGTGGGTATCTCTAGTGTATGATGACTTTGATTCCTTTGGGTATAAACCCAGGAGTGGTATAGCTAAACCATATGATAGTTCTATTTTTTAACTTTTTGAGCAATCTCCATACTGGGATTGAATAAATTTGCATTCCCACCAACAGGCTGCAAGGGTTCTGTATTTTCCCACATCTTTTACTACCATATTTGTTGTTTGTTTCTTGATGACTGTCATTCTGATGGGTGAGATAGAATCTCAGTGTAGTTTTGATTTACTCACATGTGTATACATTGTTTGGGCCACCTTTCCCCCTGCTCCCCCCTGTTTCCGGGCAGAACCTGTTCTGCCCTCTTGTTCTCTGATTTTGTTGAAGAGAATGCATAAGAGATAGTAAGAAAGACATAGCATTTTGTATTTCTTCTTTTGAGAGCCATCTCATTCATTTCAGCTGCCATTTATTAATTGGATTATTTGCCCTTTGGGAGTATAATTTTTTGAATCCTTTACATATTGTGGATAATAATTCCCTGTCAGATGACTAGCTGGCAAATATTTCCTCTTGTTCTGAGGTTGCCTCTTCACTCTGTTAATTGTTTCTTTTGCTATGCAGAGCTTTTTTTATTTTTATTAGTTTTAAATTCCCACAGGGTTTCATTGTGTTTATTTCCACAATATGCATATAAAGTATTTGGCAATTTACCCCATCCATATTCTAAAAGCTTGTTAATTTGATGCCAATACAATTTGTCGACTTTTACTATTATTTTTGCACTATTGGTACAATATTATTCCTATTTTGAAGTGTTTTCCCTATGTTTTCAAGATGCAGGTCTTTTCGTTAAGGGCCTTGATCCATTTGAGATGAATTTTTTGTGCAGGTATGAAGAAGGGTCTTATTTCAGTCTTACATGTGGTTCCAGTTTTTACCAGCAATATTTGGTTAAAGAAGATGGCTTTTTTCCACACATGTATTTTTTGACACCTTTGGTTAAAAAATAGAATGTCTTTAACTGCATGGATTTTATTTCTGGGGTCATCTATTTCTATTTCATTGTGTACATGTCTGTTGGTTGCCAGTAACTGTGCTTGTTTTTTGTTAAACTTGCTCTGTTAAGTATATTTGAAAAGAGGTGTTTCAATAAGAATTCAAGCACTGAAATGTTTTCCGTGTTTTCCTCCCATTCAGTTTAAAGTTAGCTATTGGTTTGCCACATGTAGTCTGATTATGTTGAGGTTGATTCTAACTGGTTACTAGTTTTATTTAGGTTTTTTAATCATGAAGGGATGCTAAATTTTGTCAAAGACTTTTCTGTATCTATGGATGCATCATGAGATTTTTTATCCTCGATTCTATTTATGATTGTAATTACATTTTATTGATTGTACATACCGTAAACATCATTAAATGAAACCAGCCTGATATGGTCATGACATTTTTTTTCATTTTTTTCTTTATTATTCATATGTGCATACAAGGCTTGGTTCATTTCTCCCCCTGCCCCCA